TTAAATTGAGATTTATACATCATCTGAAAGCTGAATAAGTAATCTTTCCATTGATGTATGGAAAGATTGAAAGATTGAGATGAAAATCTGGAATCTGAGGGTGCAAAAAAATCTAAATATTGAGAAAATCATCTTTAAAGTTGTTCAAATGAAGTTCTTAGCAATGCATATTACTAATCAAACATTAAGTTTTGATATATTTACGGTAGGACATTTACAAAATATCTTCATGGAACATGATCTTTACTTAATATCCTAATGATTTTTGGCATAAAAGAAAAATGTATAATTTTGACCCATACAATGTATTGTTGGCTATTGCTACAAATATACCCCAGCGACTTAACACTGCTTTTGTGCTGCAGGGACACAGATGTACTCTAAAGAAAACGTAATTTGGCTTTGTCAATTTAGGAGCTAGCGGCTAGTCATTTGTTTAGTCGGGATCCCTGACACACTCAAGAAAGACAACTAGAGCCCAATCAATTACAGTGGTCTGCAACCAGCTAACCATCACTAACACACACAAACACAGCAGAACGCTGACTCAATGAACGCCGGTGATGATGAACTCCAGAATGGAAGAGAGAGATGAGTGTTTTCCAGACACGGACGGGGAGAGACGGGATGAGGTGAGAGAGATTGAGTACCGTGGGTATCAGGTCTGCCGTAGGGCCGCACTTCCCTAAGGTAGAATTGGAATGTTTTACGAAGGGCGTGGAGGTCTACAGGAAGGAAGTAAAGCTACAGTCACTGACAGACACAGCAGAGCTCCGGAGAGAGAGCACATCACACACCACAGGGCGTTTTCAGACCTGCACATCAACCGCTTTCTCCCAAAACAGGGACGTGAACCGTTGGATTTTCTTCTTGGTTTGGTTTGCTTTGACAAAAAAAAACATTTCAAAGCGTACCAAAATTATGCATTCTAGTAATTCACCTTTTTGGATAAGAGCAATTAGACGACATTTGAGGAGGAAGACGTGCTTTGGAGTTCAACTGTGATATCTAACGTGCTCAGCCACATAATTGACACTGCTGCTTTTTACAAAACACATTTACATTATGAATTATGATACAGCTTGCTTCGTTGGTCCATTGGGTTGAATTGCCTAAGTGCCAGTCCAAAGACTGTTTTGGTGCGGATCCAAGCATGCTGGCTGTGTTCACATATGCCTAAACAAACTAAACTATGGGAGAAATACACTAGGCTCCAAAACAAACACTGGCCAGGTGTGAAAACGCCCATCGGTATCTTCAGTACTGCTTTCACCTGGCATTAACATACATCTCAAAGCCTTCTCCTGGAACCACTCGACATCTCATTTCGAAAATAACCCTCAATGTTAAAGACCCTTCTGTTAGGGCAATGTATTTTGCTGTTGTCTGGGTCAAATGTGATGTGCTACAAACAGCTGGCATCTAGGTATGGAAACAACAGTGAGCGACTGAAGGAAATAAGCCCTGTCCTCTGGAGAGACGCTGTGGGATAAACAAGATGTTGATAACTGAACAGCAGTCAGACGATCTCCTCACCTTCCTCTCCAGAGCGTCGGGTGAATCAGAGATGAAGCTGATGTTGACCTCCTCCACGTCAGAGCTGCTGGACCCCGCGGACGTCACGCTGAGAGAGTCGCCGCCGTCGCCGGCCGAGCCGCTCAAACCCGGCGGGAAGCGCAGCTGATCGAAGGACTTGGAGTGAGAGCTTCCAGAGCCGCTGCATCCGGCTTCCCCCGAACCCACGGGCTGCCGACTGAGAGACAGAGACACAATAAACAAAACATCAGTGGTTACCGTATGGAAGGAATACTTCCAACAACTCTCATCTCCCAGTGAGCTTGATGTAATGCATTCTGGGATTGCCTTCTCCATGGAAAATACATGTTAAGCTACCTTACATTTTGAGCCTAAACAAGGAGTCTGATCAGGCAGCATAATTCATGATGACTGAAACTGCCATCTAAATAGGTGTAGTATTAGCAGGTGTGTGGATGTGAAGGTCAGCACTCACTCGCTCCATCTCTTCATGATTCCTGAGCTCTTCTTGGCTCTCAGCGTGTTGGAGGCCGATTCAGAGAGCGGCTCGATCTCACACGACTGACTGTAGCTGCAGGAAACCCAGAACAGCATTCAGGAGTGTGTGTGTCTGTGTGTGTGTGTGTGTGAGTGAGTGAGTGTGTGTGTGTGAGTGTTTGTGTGTGTGTGTCTGTGTGTGTGCGTGAGTGAGTGTTTGTGTGTGTGTGTTTAATTACCAGCATACTACTGTTGAATTGAACTGGTTTTATGACAACACGTCTGACAGAGACTATTTCAAAAACATTCCAAACACTCCGGACATTGTGATTGTAAACAAGGCTTTGAGCTCTGTATTTGTCATTGAGGTTGGCTGTTGTTTTGATCTGTATTTTGATACCTGCTATCTTTCCAAACTGCTGAAATATCAGCCATTGGTTGAAGCCATCCATCAACTTGACTATCATTGTAAGTTAATTACCCTAGTATTTGGAAGCTTAGGTCATGTGCACAAGAATGTGATTAAAGGTCTGCAGTTGAGTGGATTGCAAAAAAA